AAATTGGCATCTGAAATTTACTTCGTACCAATATCTCTATATACTGACCTGTTCCATGAATTTCCTGACACTCTCCCTAGTGTCTATCCTACATATTGATCTGATCGAAATATACCAGGTGCTAATACGCTTGCCCGCACTCTTCAAGCATCTGCGAGGCAGTCGCTCCTCCTCGTCTTATGTTTTAACGTCGATTTGAGGTTTACTCTGATTAGAAACGTTGGTCTGATCAAAGATACTCATCGTCTATAATCTATCATCTATTTTTTCTGTCTCTCAAAGTTGTCATCTATTGGTCCATCTATAAAAGATTGAGATGTGTTTATCTCCAGTGCACGTATAAGAAGGGTCGTTGATCACTTATTTCTTGATAAATACGAGTACGTTGTGGCCTTCTTCTGTACACAGGTCGATGAATTTGTGCACCCAAAGACAAACCGTACAAGCAAATGCTTCAGGATAACCTACAGATCCATGGAAAGGTAAGCTTGCACGTGTTTATAGAGTTAACATGCGAAAACACATTGGGAAGAAATCTCACTGATGAACTTACGAAAAATCTGACTGACAGCCATGACAGACTTACTTGTTCATTGTTTGGTGTACTGTGCACGAGTTGGCTGGCGACAGGTAGATAGCAGACCAGGACATGCCTTCAAACCAGTCTCGTCTTCTGATTGGTATATTTTGTTGTTTTGAAAATAAAATAGTTTGTAGTGACAACGGTGTAGATAGGGTGACTGATGATCAGAACATACCTCTTGTTGTACTATACTAATATATCATCACCGGCTCAGACCCCTGTAGGGTATCTGAGTATGCTCATTTATTTACAGCTTATCTGGTACGAGCCTCCTCGTTAAGGTCACGCGGGCTGCCCTGCACACTAAACGACTATGCCCATGCGATACTTCTATGTGTACATCCACTTTGAGTATTTATCTCCATGACTACCGCGCAGAAGTCATTTCCTTGCAGCTTATCGCCAAACTGTCCAGAGGAAACATACAATATGTTTTGTATATACTGCTACATATTCCACTACTTGTTCCGATTCCTCAAGTGGGTTCGCGTGGATCTATCAATCCATCGTAGACGTTATAGCTAAATCGACAGCTCGATCTATTATTCGGACAGGACTCTTAGTGATCAAACAGCTACCTTTTCGACCTATTAACTCGAATAGCTTCTACTTATAATCCCACCATACACAGACCTGTGGCCAATGCGGAAGTCAATCTGATCCAGGAGAGAGTGCGGGCTTTAGTAGCCGAGGATTTTAAGGTCACGCTGCGATAGCTAATTAATAAGTGATTGTAATAACAGTCTGACTGGGATACGGCGTATTTGGGTTTGAGACTGAAAGTAGATAGTATCCAGAATTGCAGTTGGCCACGGGCCATTAAAATGGTGAATTTTGATTTTGATTGACACAGATTGACAGTGTTCGATCCTAGATGGCAAATTGACTTTGTATTGTGCTATGTTCCGGTCAAATTTATAGTGAAGAATATTATGAAAATCCGGTGGATAACCTCCCAAACTATCTCGGGGATTTGTAGCAAAACCAGCCTGAACCAATAAGGTCACAAGAACTGAACCCTAAATCAAGCCCATGCCTGCCTGTATTGATAGCTATTGTAGTAAATGAGAACCAAGTCTTCTAAGGAACATATCAACTAAAATCGTGCATTCTATTGCTCCTCATTCTATAATGTATAGTATCTTTGATTCGATTGCATCGCATTTTATAGTTTAATACAGGAACTTGCATTCGATTGCTCCTTATTCTATGATTTAATTATAGTGAAATTATTCGATTGCTTCTCTTCTAGAATATACTGATAGTAACTTTGATTCGATTGCTTCAAATTATAAAATTTTAACTATAGTAACTTTGATATTTTGGCTTCTCCTACTATAATTTATCTATCGATATTTTTGTTCGATTGCTTCTCACTCTATAGAGAAACAATAGTAATTTTCATTCGATTGCTTGTAATCCTATAGTTTGAGTACAGTAACTTAGATTCGAATGCTTCTCGACGCAGATTTATTATACCTATTTGAACTTTCATTCGATTGAATCAATCTATAATTTAATTATAAAGTCTTTATTTATATTGCTTCTGAATAGTTTTACATTCTATAGTTATAACTTTAGTATCATATATTCGAGTGCTACTCATCCTATAACATACACAGTTATTTTTATTCAATTGCCTCTCAATTCTACAATTTATATTAACTTCATTCCGATTACTTCTCAATCTAAAATATACCTACAATTTTGATTTTGATTCCTTTGCATTCTAAAATTTAGTTATAGTATTTTTCATACGATTGCTTCCCGCATTTATATTTAACTATAGTGTTTTTCATTCGATTGCTTCACATACTGCAATTTAACTATGACGTCTTACATCCGATCACTTTTCAATAAATTCACATTCTAAAATTAATTACAGTAACTTCCATTCGATTACCACTCATTTTATTACATAACTATAGTTAACTTCATCTGATTGCCTTTCGTTCTATATATTGTATCTTTTTATATTGCTTCTATGGATCTTGATCAATATCCTTTATTCGATTGCTCCTCATTTTATACTTCAGTAATAGTAACTTTGAATGGACTGCTTCTCATTTTGTAATATAACATGGAACCATCTATTCGGTTGCTTCTCGTTTTACATGTCAACTATAGTACCTTTCACTCCATCGCTTCCCATACTGTAATTTAACTATAGCAGCTTTCATTATATTACTATTCATTGTAAATTCGATTTAACTGTCGTAACTTTTATTCCATTGCTACGCATTTTATAACTTAACTATGGTTTAATATGTCTATTGGATTGCTTCTAATATTATAATGTTTAGTTACTTTCTTTGAATTGCTTCACAATCTTTATTTACACTATCGTACTTTTTTTCTATTGCTCCTCATTCTGGAATATATTACACTATAGTTTTTCGATTCCATGGACTTTCATTCTAGGATTTGACTATAGTAACTTTCATTTGACTTCACTTCGTTCCATATTTCAATTGTGGTTCCGTTCATTTGATTGCCTCTCACTTCACAATTTAAATATGGTAAATTTGAAAGGGAAAAGCGTAAATTTTTTCGATTTTTAACTATAGAATATTTCATTCGATTGTCTCGTACTTAAAACTATCTAATATAACTTCGTATACTGCTATACTGCTATACAGACTATACTGCTTCTTATTATACCACTTAACAATGATACATTCCATTTGATTGTATCTCATTCTATAATTCATTTATAGTACCTTTCATTCGATAATCTAACTATGGCAATTTGATTGTTTCTCGTTCTATATTATATTGCAAAATTCATTCGATTGCTTCTCATTCTATAATTAACTATCGTGACATCCATTCGATTGATTTTCATTCCATAACTTTAGTATATCAGCATTCATTAGATTTTTTCTGTCCCTGACACAACAACAAATGTTCCCCATACCCCGGCTAATCACGCTGTTGAAATACTACTTCCAA